AGAATAAACATTTAAAGATATCAAAGCAAATGAGTTGTGTTTGCAACCATTTGTCTTGATTTCAACAAGTTTCGTTATGCTGAACAATATGAAGTATGTGTTGTGTTTCTTTTAATAGTGCCGATTATGTAGCCTCACTATAAATTTATGAATTCGATTAGGCAAAAGCTGTCTTTCCTACAAATCAAGTATATGTGGCCCTCTTTCAATGATCATGGATTTTAGGACAAAATAAGAATGAAACGGTCTTCCCTAAGTATTTAAGTCAAATCAAATCCTCTCTTTTCACACCCACTAATAGTAGAAGTAGTAAAGACAATCCTCATTAGCTCATCCAAAACTTTGATGGTATGTTCTAGTTCATGGGACATGTTTGGGCCGAACTTTGCCCCTTTATTAATACAAAATATCAGGCTCAAGCCTGAATTCAAAACTTGATTTGAATAAGAATAAACAAATTCATATACTTGTCAATACTAACATAATTCATATACTTTGATTTAGGTATATTATTCTGTTGTCCATTTTTTCTTCTATTTTATGGTCAATACTAACATAATTAGTATTGCATAATTAGTAGGTTATGGCTAGTAGTCAAGGGAGAAATGGGGGGAGTTCTCGGGCTACGTGGACTCCTAAAATGCATAAAATTTGGGTGGATGTATGCTTGTAACAAGTCATTGCTGGAGATGACTTGTTAGAATGAAATGAAATATTCACTGCTGGAGATGACTTTTAGAATGACTATCCGAAGGTATGGGGTAACTTAGCATTTTTAACATAATAAACATGTAGCTTAATCATTTTGTTATGCAGAACCTTACATAGTTCTATACTTGTGTGATAGACATACCCTGATGCGGCTTAATTTAGATACAAGGGTCTTCCCCATGTGACTGATTTGGACATTATATTTGGTGGCACAGTTGCCCACGGCTACGATAGTTGGGTACCAAATGAGGGTACACTACTAGAGGTGGTGCCGTTAACCCAACCGACTCTAGATGATGACCAAATGGATGGGGAATTACAACATGAACCAAAGACACCTAGGTCTGCATCTAAAACAATGCAGGATGTTGGAAGGGTTCCAACAAGCACTCACTCATATAGAGTTGTCAACAGAGAAATAGGGGAGAGTAGTAGCTCTACCAAGAAAAAGAAGATGTCGGGTGCTATGCGGATTGGCAAGAATCTGGACAGAATTGCCTCTACATTTAAGCTATCAATTGCCCATAAAGTTGGTCAGGACAAGAGGCTAAGTTCTATGGAACGATGCTTTAACTTCCTAAAAGAGATCCCTGAGATTGAGGAGGGGAGTCATTTATTCATGTTTGTTAGTCTCCAGTTCATAAAGGGTGAATTCCGTGACTTGTTTATTGCGATCGGGTCTCCTGCCTTACGATTGAGGTTGATTCAAGAGTTGTATGAGTGTCCCAATAGTGTGTGAAACTTATTTGTATCAATTTGTGTTTTACTTTTGTTTGCCACATAGACTAGAGAACTTGAGTATTCTTCATTTTGACAAGTATTTTGTAGGATTATTATTGGACTTGATTTATATTTTAATGTTAATTAAATGTGTGTTTTTTATATTTTCTGCATTTATGTCTTCATTCATTGATTATTAATTTTGTTTGTCTTTACTAAATTGCATGATAGTGTAAGAGATGGCTATTGATAAGGAAATTGAAACAGAGATTGAAGTAATATCAGATACATAGTCGGATTCCGATAGTAGCTTCTCTTACAATGGGGTGATGGATACCGATGATGAGCATGAGTGCATTGTGAATGTTGTCTCTATGGTGAGTGAGTTTTATTATGATACTTGGGTTCATAAAGAACCCAAACACACCATGGACTGTACAAGAGCAGTGTACACAAGGTCTCTCCTTGAAGGGCACAATGACCAATTGTATGAACTTTGTTGTATGAACAAAGACATATTTATACGACTGTGCAATACTCTGAAAGAGCGTGGCCTCATTGCAAATAGTCGAGATATTTCAGTGGAAGAACAACTAGCCATTTTCCTTCATATTGTTGGACATAATGAGAGGAACCAGATGATGCAAGAGTGATTCCAACATTCCGGCGAGACAATTAGTCGCTTTTTGAATGATATGCTGGTGGCGATAGTCAAGCTCTCATTATCAATAATATGCATTCCCAACTTTGACATTATCCCTTCACACATCCACCAGAATCCAAAATATTAGCCATATTTCAAGGTAGCATTCTTACACTCTGAGCCCATTTTAAAGCTACATCATAAATAATGGTTGTTTTTTTTTTGGTAGAATTGCATAGGGGCTATTGATGGGACACACATATCAGCATGGGCCTCTACTGATAAGCAAACACCGTACTGGCATAGAAAAGGGCCTTGCACACAAAATGTAATGGCCGCATGTGATTTCGACATGCGATTTACATTTGTTCTTACTAGATGGGAGGGAACCGCACATGACTACCGCATATTTGATGAAGCCGTACGTAATCCAAAATATAATTTCCTGCATCCACCACAAGGTATGGAACCGCACATGACTACATTTGTTCTTGCAATTTGTTCTGTATTATATGAAGTGTAAAAATATATTCATATTCTCTTTATTATTCTTAAGTAAGTATTATGTTGTTGATTCTGTGTACCCCAACACCGTTGGCTACATGGCACCGTACCGTAATACACGGTACCACTTACCTAATTTTTGAAGGGGAGGAAAGCCTACAACAAAGGAAGAGTATTTCAATAATGCCCATGCCTCATTGAGAAGTGTCATCAAGCAAAGTTTTGGTGTGTTAAAGGCTCGATTCCCTATCTTGAAGTGTATGCCATGCTATTTATTAAAGACACAATGGTTGATAGTTGTGGCTTGCATGGCAATACACAACTTCATTCGAGACAACTAGGACAAAGACACACTATTTAATGAGTTTGAGAATGATGAAGAGATCGAAATTCAACATCCATTTGAAACAAGTGGTGAAGATTTCGATGAGGTTGCTATTGGCGATGTGGATCAACAATAAGAAATGTTGCTGCTTAGGCAACAAATTGCAGATGCAATATATGATGACAAAACTCAGCCACCATTGAGGAGGCGTAGGTCAACAAAACCAATGTTGGTGGTATTGGTTTTTGTTTTTCTTTGGATTTGATAAACATTATGCATCAAATGCGGATATTTTTGACTTTATTGTATGTTGGAACTTTGTGTTTTAGATACTTTATGTTAATCTAATAGATAGTATATATTTTCTCATTACAAGTTATTAATGGCTGGTAAGAAATACTACGTAGTGTTCATTAGTCGTCATCCAGGTATATACGATACCTGGGCCGAATGCAACTTGTAGATCCATCAATACAGTGGTGCAGTATTTTGTTCATATAAAACATACAAAGAAGCAGATTGTCAATTCCATTGTTTAATAGTTTTACATGATTCTTCAATTGCTAGGCCGTCTAGTCGGAATGATGCATCCAAATTAACCTATGTGTACTAGGCATCCACATGTATTCTACTAGTTGGAGTTATTACATTGGGCATGTTGTACATGTCCAAATGATATGCAATTTTACAAATGTTCGCACTTTTATATTACTTTAGGGCACATTAAACAAATATGGGCAGGGAATTTGTTTGTGAAAATTGATCTTTAATTACATATTCTATAAGTATTTTGTGAAAGCTACGCCTTAAAAGCACTTTCTAGAAGTATTATGTGAAAATTGCGTCTTGAAAGTGCTTTCTGGAAGTATTTTGTGAAAACAATGTCTCAAAAGTACATTCTGGAAGTATTTTGTGTAAATTGTGCCTTAAAGGTACTTTTTAGAAGTATTTTGTGTAAAACGTGCTTTAAAAGTACTTTCTGAAAGTATTTTGTGTAAACCACACCTTAAAAGTACTTTATGGAAGTATTTTGTGTAAACTATACTTTAAAAGCACTTTCTAGAAGTATTTTATGAAAACTACGCCTTAAAAGTATTTTCTAGAAGTATTTTGTGTAAACTGCACCTTGAAAGTGCTTTCTGGAAGTAATTTGTAAAATCTATGCAGTAAAAGCACTTTTTGGTAGTATTTTGTTATTTATCAATATTATTCATTATTTGTTAATAATAATATTATTATTATTAATTAGATTCACGTGGCTCTCAGTTGAAATATATAGTATAACATGTGAAAAGCATTGTATATATGTATGAGTGAAGTAAGGGTTAAAATTGTCATTTGTGTAAATACAAATACTTATGGGAAAAGTAGCTCGCCAAACATTCTCACCCCAATAAATACTTAAAAACACAATAAATGATTTGAAAAATGAATTACTAAACAGCCTTAAGGGTTATTAAAATAAGTACTTCTAAAAAATACTTATAAAAATACTTATAAACAAGTATTTTTTTTAAATTTTAACAAATACTTAGTCATCAAATGGGCCTTAAGGCTTAAGGCTGCCTCAGATGTGAGCTCGGTCTAAATTGCTGCTACGCGGTTACGTGGAATCGGGAGGCAAAAACTGCCTCCTTTTCATCCAATACCTGATCCCCACCCTCCACCCAGTTCATATCTACGCTCATACCTGGAAGGACTTCCGAAGGACGTGAGTGCTTCTCCTTGTCTCGTGATTCGTGAATACGCATGGGTTGGGTGTTCATAAGGAAACTTATTAAGTCCTTCGTTGGAGAGCGCGTTTGGCCGTTTGAGAGGGCTTCTGCGTTAGAGGTAAATTCTAATTGAATTTTATTTTATTTTACTTAATTTTCACTAAAATCAAATAAAATAAGGTACTAAGGTGGGACTTGAAACGAAAATAAATCAGAATTTCCATTTAAATCATTTGCGCTACCATAATTTTGCATTAATATAAATAGATTTGCGCTGTAGCCAAACGCAACTTAAAGGTTTTTCCCGTTTCGAAGTTTCAAGCGAAGCTGCAACAGTGTGAAACACGCAGAAACTGCATACAAATATGAAATAACGCCGTTTCTTTGAAGTCCATTTCCTGGTTCAGACTTCATACGTAACGTAAATTTTCATTTTCTAGGTCTCACCCCTTTTCTCTTCTTCTTCAATCTTCTCTCGCCAAATCTTTGTTTCACCTTTCATGGCGAATTATAACATATACACACATGAAAGCTATGCACCTTCTGCTTCTCCAATGTGCTACGCTCAGCAATACTCTTCTTCCCACCAGTCATACGGACAGTCTTCCTCGTATGGGTACTCTTCAGCTCTTGCTCCAAGCTATGCTCCGTATTTTCCACCGGGGACGCACCCGGACATTATTAGAAGTTTTCAGATGATCGATAGGGACCGAAGTGGGTTTGTTGACAAGAATGAGTTGCAGGAGGTGCTTTCTTGGGGTTATCAGAAGTTCAGTCTCCGGACAATTCGGTTGCTTATGTTTCTTTTCAAGAATCCTACCGAGCCTTCGAGGATAGGTGAGAGTGAGAGTTCTCCCTTTTTTCTTAGTTTTATTGAAAATTTATATGGGTTTGAAGTTCTCTGACGTTCATATACTCTCCTGTTACAGGGCCTGTTGAGTTTGCTGCCCTATGGAATTGTCTTGGGCAATGGCGAGTAAGTATTTTTCTTGGTTTCTCTTTACTCTTCTAGATAATAATGGTTAAATCTTAAGTGGAATAAAAATACCTAGTAAATTGAATGCTTGATGGCCCCATTTGGAAGACATTTATAGCTTCCAGAATTAAAAATTTCAGAGAAACAAACTTTACTAAATAATATCACATTTTTTAAAATATAAATATCTTTGAATCCCTACCATTTTTGTGTTTTTTGGAGATCCAGTTCACCCTGAGTCTGAGGATTGCAGCCGTTGATTTCATGGAACAAGTAGCATTGGCATTTAGTGCTAGGGATAGACTTTCCAGAGCCACCTGAAACATTTGAGAATCATTTAAGTGGTGCTCCTTGCCTTTGATTGTTATCATATTTTCTTTGTCATCATGTGGATAGATTTTTTCCAATAAATATCTCTTTATGCTTAAGATTCCTTAGAGTGCACCATCTCCAAATTCAAGAATACTCCTATCTCCCCCTTTGATTCATTGTTACTTGTTAGGATTTCTCAGTATTTTGGGTTTCTTAGAGGTTTATGAGACCATGAGATTTCTGATATATTTGTGAATATCTTTAAAAATGTTTTTCTTGACCCAATTGGAATTGGTTGTGGCATTTGGTCTGCTGACAGTAAAGGAGCAATTTCATACTTTCATTCTTATCTTGATTTCAGACTGTTAACAAGGATGCTTTAATCCTTAGGATAATTTCTCGTAAAACTTTATCTTGCTATGTCCTCCACAAAAAAATTAGGACTGCAAATTTACTGATTTTCTAATCGAATTGGGTATCCAGATTTTTTAATGAATCAAATTCGAATTTATGTTTTTACATATCCACATCTGATCCATTTGCAGCCCTAATTGATAAACCTATTTTTGTTTGGAATATTGGTGCTCAGAGTGAATATCTTTGATCAAAGTACTCCCAAGATCAGCTAAATCACCTACTATGGCCTTGCTAGGGTATGGGAGGAATGAGCTGTACTTGGGGTTTGTTGTTTTTTGGTTGGGTTTTTGTTATCTATAACATTATTTATCTTTTATCTTGCTTGCCTCTTTTGAGGCCTTGTTGTTAGTGCTGTCAATTGATCAGGTCTGGTCTGGTGTGGGATCTGGTTCTGCACCAGTCCCTATAGGATCTGTAATTGGGACTATTGGGTCTGACCCAATAAAACCTGATTATAATAATTGGTAGTTATATTTTGGACCTATAATTTGACAATTAACCTACTTATTTGTTAAATTGACACATTTGGAGTTTTGGACATCATAATATGATAATATTACAAGTATTTCATGAGAACAAAGTATTTTTTTATGGTGAAAAAGAAAATAGGTATTAGATTGGGAGTATCTTAATATGTCAATGTACATATACATAACCATATACACAATTATACATATAGTCAGTTTGGGTTTTAGTTGGTTTGGAACAACCAAAATGGTCCTGAGCCAATAATAATAATGACATCTAATGCAGACCCAGATCCTATATAATTGGGTCAGTTCTGTTCAGGCCTGTCAGGTCTGCACCCTATATAATTCGGTTGCTTGTACCTTCTCTCTTTTAATAATAAAACATTTTTATTATGATCCTGAATATAAAGAGAAGATAAAAGAAAAAAGTGAGACATATTCCTTCTTCTATTGGGAAATAAACCCTTTCTATTTGAACTATGAATGGGGGGGGGGGGGTTGCTTTGAATGTAAGCCACCCAAGTTAAACGAGTATAGTGGTATAGTCCAAGTTGAGCAACCATACTCCCAATCAGTTTTCTACTATCCTTTCATAAGTAGTCTCTTTATGATTTCTGCTAGTTCTGTCTAGTCATATACATTTTTCTAAGGATTTTGATTGTGATTCCTATGCTCTTTTTGGTCTGCAGGTCATCTTTGAGAGATTTGATAGGGATCGGAGTGGGAGAATTGACTCAATGGAACTAAGGGATGCCCTGTATAGTCTAGGATATGCTGTCCCACCTTCAGTTCTCCAAGCTCTGATCTCTAAGTACGATCGTGGAAGTGAACAGAATGGACAATTAAACTTTGACAGCTTTATTGAGTAAGTCTGTTTTCTGGAGAACATTATATTGAACCCTTAGGAGTTCATATGTGTCAATATCTCTGATATTATTTTTTGTTGATATGCAGGTGTGGGATGATTGTGAAGGTGAGCTAAAAGTTCATTGGTTTAATATTTTTATAACAAAAGAATATCTATGGAAAGGATAATAGAAATAAAGAAACATGACATAGGAGACTCCCCATTAAGCCATAAACGATTCACCTTTTTACAATATTACCATTGGCCATTGCCAAAACTTGGTCCCTACCAATTTTCAAATCCGGAAGATGGCCAAGACTTGTATTTGTTGAAGTTGCTTTCCTTGATTACCCCTGAGGATTATTAGACCATCCTTCATTATGATTTATAAAATACTCTCAGGTTGTGGCAATGATTTAAAAGGCATGCCTAGGCGCATAGGCAAGGCACATTTTAGGGTATGCACCTTGCCTCGGTCCTAGGCGCAGCACTTTCAAAAGGTGCGCACCTGGTGTGCCTAGGCATGCACCTGGTGCACCTTGTGCTTCAGTCCAGGTGTGAGCTGTTTGAAAATTTATGCATTTTTTTCTGTTTTTTTGTGCTTAGCAGATGGACCAGGGGCTTAAATTCTCCCCTCAAGACAAGCTCAATCAAGTCCATATCAGGGTCTTAAATTCTTAATCCCTATAAAAAAGGTTTTATAACTTTAAGTGTCTTTTAAAAATATCTTTTATTAGGATGAATGAATGAGCAACATTAGCAAATATGGGGTTTTCTACCTTGAGGGGGTTGGTACAAAGGCGGCTCGTGGAACAAGAATGCATAATGTTTAAACACCACATAGTTATTTAAAGTAATGCAATTGGGGAAGAAAATAAAGAACTTTTACATGCTTGAATATGTTTTATATGTCATGCTTGATTAATTTTTAAATTTTCATTTTAAATATCTTTTACATGCTATATTTATGTATTTTAATTTGAGATAATAGTTTTTTAAACATTTATTTTAAAATTTAAGTTTATATTTTTAATTAATATTGTGTTTAATATTTTTAATATTTTGCAATTTTTTGCCATTTTTTGAAATTTTTAGCATTTTTATGCCTTAAAAAATGCACGTGTGATGTGCCTCACCTTGTGCCTTGTGCCTTGGGTGCAAAATGGCCCTTGTGCTTGAAAAACACTTGGGTTGTGGAATCAGGTTTCTCATTGAGCAGGCCTTGAAATCAACCCCAATGATATCTGCCACTAAACCACTAATAGATTCTAGAAGCCATTACAAACTTGGGGAGGGGATTTAGGACATGGCTACTGAGAATCAATCTAGAGTACTGCTAAATCAGGCCCTCCTCAAACTCATTTTGGATAAGGTCTGAGGGATGAAGCTCTCCTTTTTTTTACTGTATTTAGTCTTATCTACTCATCCTATTTCTTATAAGCTTCTACGTTTCATTTATCCCAAATTTCACCAGAATGTCATATGACCAGGAAATAGTATTTGAGGGATTCCTTGTATGACAGATTTGATCATATATTCCAGTAGAATCCTGTTTGCTTAGATAGGCGTGTGTCTTGATCTTCTTTCCTTTTGTAGTTCTTTATTCTCTATCAGGTTGCTGAATAACAAATACCTTAATTTTCTTTCGGTGACATAACTTTACACTTCTCACTTGTTCTTTCAACTTCAGGGTTTGACTGAAAAGTTCAAGGAGAAAGATCCACACTATACTGGAGCAGCAACACTTACCTATGATACATTCATGGCAATGATCGTTCCATTCCTTGTATCATAGACTGAGTTTTGTTTTGATTCTATTACATTGTATCATCTATTTTTTTTTGCATGTTACATTGTATCATTCTGTATCATGGAATGTATGTATTTTAATTTTTTCATTGTTCAGTTTTGAAAGGTATGCGAATAAGACTCTTCAGGGGAGTGGAATGGAGGATGATCTTATGCAAATGAAAGAGAACATTTTTCATTTTTCAAGAAACTTAAGTTTTGGAATTGCATAACTGGTCTTTCTGAGAACACAAATAAAATTGGTAATTCATGGGATGCAGTTTCCTCAAATTGCATGCATTGACGAAGGCTGGCTTCCATATTGTGTTTTAGTTGCCCAACTTGTCAAAATGAATGAAAGATGCAACCTATATGTTTCAAAATCTTTCAAATTTTTTTTTTTCTAATTTTTCTTTTTTTCTGGTAAACCGCATCTTGTCCTGGTTTTAGGCTCAATTTCTTGGTGTGATGGTAAATCATGGGGGGTGAAAAGTATGAGAACGCAGGCTTGAGCGTCAGAGTAGCCACTTTGTGCAGAAAAAAAGAAAACAAAACTTAGGTTAGGTCCACATCTACTCCACCTTCTCAAGAACCTAGATATTTCTGACAAACATTGGGCAATGGCCATTTTTATATATTGTCCCTTTTTAGAGGCTAAGGTGCTTTTTTAGTTGACTTTGCCTGCCAGTGGGATGAGTTTCATGTTAGTTTGTTTCAGAAGCTCACCAAGTTAACCTGATTACATCAACTTTCCTATTATCGTTGACCAAATTAGAACTTCAAATATTAGGATTTTGGGTTCCCTATTCTGCAGTTCTACCTTGTTCAGTAACACAGGTTGTCAAGTATTCAAATATCCACAAGCGTCCAGCATTTCCTGTTGATATGTGGTTGCACGGAGTTTAGCATCCATGACATAACCATGTAATTCTCTTCTATCCACTTAGCATGTGAAACATTTGAACAACATTGCCAGTAATGTATCCCGATATTTCATGTCTTCTTATGTACATTTGAATGGATTTGCTATGCCCTCTCTAAATAATTTGTTTCATTGAGTCTACTTGTAATCACTGTGGGTGATAGGGTTCTCTACAATTCCCAAAGGAGCAACCCCAGATTTCAAAATTCTGCTTCGAATCAGTTCCAAGGGGATCATTGATTCAAATTCAAGTCCATATATGCCTTTAGGGGTCTCCTATTATCAGTTCTCTTGACTTATAGTCAAGGCTACAGTAATCTCCTAGGGTTCCACCAACCCTTACACAGAAGGAAGAGGAGAAACATAGGCCACTCCTACCAGCAGCCCCCAAATGCCCAAAATCTATTGCAAATATAAAGGGCATCAAAATAAACTTAAAAGTCCTTGATCACCAATCCTAGTACAAGTTCTTGACCTCCAATTAAATTGTAGTTCAAGTCTTTCTGGGAGACATATCTTCAATAAGAAACTCTCCAAAATCCTTCACAAACCAGGTGATTTGATCTAGTAATCACCAGTCTCTTAAATCCCCATAGACAGTACTGTTAATCTTAGTATATGGGTCTTATATGCAAAAGGAGGTGAAACCTTCTCTGGTACCAAGATGTCTTGTATGTCGTTCAGATAATCAATAAAAAACAGTAATTTGAGTAGAAGAAAGTGCAGAAAATAATAGGGAAGAAGAAGATGAATAGGGAAAGAAAAGAGAAGAAAATAGTTATGGGAGAACTTCTTGGGGTGTGTGCAGCCCCCTTTATTGCTGTATATATCATGGGAATGGACAGAAATACCCCTGTCCACAGAGTACATAGTAACTTAGATGGGACACGGCTTAGCTGGTCCCAAGCCCAGAAAAAGGAGGATAAGGCACTGAACAGAACTGAATGGCCAAACAGGATTCATGTAGCAGACCCATATAGATGGGACACGGATTAGATGGAGATGAAACTTGAAAGTCCCGGACAGGTACTATCTCCCTATTTTTGATGGAGATGAAAGTCCCTGGAGTAACTCTGCCTCTCTGAGCTTATTCTTACACTGCTGGTCCCAAGCCTAGAAAAAGGAGGATAAGGCACTGAACAGAACTGAATGGCGAAACAGGATTCATGTAGCAGACCCCATATAGATGGGACAAGGCTTAGATGGTATGAAAATCCCCGGAGTTTGTGACTATGAAAATGATGAGAATAAGGTCATTATCTTATAGTATCATTACTTCTATAATAAATGGAGTTCGTGACTATGGAAATGATGAGAATAAGGTTATTATCTTAGTATCATAAATTCTATGATAAATGTTACTAGATGGATACTTATGGATGTAACTGACGGGTAAATGACACGTCTGTCAGATAGAGGAATCAGTAGAAGTGTAGTTCAAGTGTCTCATCCTTCAGAAATCAAAATGTCTCTTTTCCTTTTCCTAATGCCATCTCCTACTTACGAGGTCTATCCTTTAATCTAGCGTTTGCCCTCCTCTGTTAACTGTTTTGTTCTCTCCATCGTTAATTTTGTTGATCAGATATATCACCTAATTATGAATTTTGTTTAAGAGGGGAACTGATCCTGCTCCCATGACTTCCACAGAAGCCATCTTAAGAACTAATGGTAAGAACAGTTATGCTTGATGCAATTACAAACCTTCCTTTCAGTTGAATTTTCTTTGTTTATTGAAGCGTCTCATCTGGTCTTCCCCTTTGGCTTGTTTCTGATTTGTGTTTCTGTAGGATTCAGCGAGCCCAGATCAAAGCAGCTGTTGTAAGCATGATGAAGGATGATGTGGGCAAGTCATTGTCACCTTGTCAACAAGCTGCAGGCCGCCCTCTTTACTCCTTATCCATTTCTACGCTCCACGTCCATAGGAGATAAGGCTCTCCTGAACATCGAATTCAATAGAAAAGGCTCTTCTTTTAATATCCTAATACAAGTGGACTGGGTTCTTTCTCAGATCCTCACTCAAGTCAGGATTTGATCATCCATCACTATCTAGTTATATTGGATATGCGGGAATTTCTGCCACTAGCAACACTGACGCCTTTTTTTTGTGAAAAAGATCCAGCTATGCCGTCGTAACAGTGAAGCCACTTCACCCTCTTTGGCCAAAATGGTGTAGGATCCAACCAGAGAGAAAGCTACTGTAATAGTAATGGAGGTGACATTTTCTTTTCATGGTTCGTCCCGTTGTGTGGAAACTGAAGCAAGTAATGCATCAATCAAGTAGCTCGATATAATTGGGGGCAGTGAGCACTGTTAGTTTGTACTGCATTCAAAGTAGAATTTTGGAAGAGAAAATCAATTGTTCCTGAATATTATAAATCTGTTTCAAACAGACGCCTCTCAAGTCTCAATATTCAATGGTCTCTATCTAATTGGGTTATTTGATTTTCTGTCTTTTCATATACATTCAATCCCCAGATTGACCAACTTGGTAGCAAACGATTTCTTGTTTTTGGGGTTTAATGCGATTCCAGTATGAGATTGCAGAAATACTTGCTTCAAACTTTCAATAGTCTCAATTGCAAGGGTCCCGAGTTTCTTGACAATTATACTCCAATTTTAATCTCTGTTTCAAACTTTCGGTAGAGTTTCTATAATTGATCCAGAAAACAGAGAGCAATACAAATTGGGCTACTACCGATGGAGCAGGGGCAAGTGTGTTATTTGCTTATAGAACCTAGGGCTGTAATTAGGTTGGATTTGGATTAAATCCAGTTAAATTTGAATCCAAATTGATTATTACAACTTCAAATCTAAATTCGATCTGAAATTCAAAATGAGACTCAAATTTGCACCCAATTAAACTTTAATTCAAGTTGATTCTTAATCGGATCAGATGGGGTCAAATTTTCATCTTATCGTATTATTAAACAGATGCCCAAATCCAAAAAATTCATATAGGATATATGATTGAATTTCTGGAGTCCATTGACAGCCCTAATGCCATCTTAGTGCAAATTGACACCATTAGAGAGAGAGAGAGAGTCAAAGTGTTCGAGTCTCTCTCAAAGTTTTAAACAAGTGTCACTATACAGTGCCATCCATGTAAAACAAGCGGTCCCCTCTTCCTCAGTTCATCCAATATACAAGTTGGAGAGCGACTCAAAGGTCACTATTTAAATGGAATTCCTTTAAGTTGGTGCAAATGAAAGAGTTTTCTTATGCCAACAGATGAAGTAAATGGTTTGTGATAGCAATAGCATCCCCCCACCAAATGACGAACTTTTGTTCTTTACCAAAATGAGAGCAAATCTGACTCCATTAAAGATTAAATTAAGAACTAGTGGCACCATGATTATAAAAATATAATGGCTTAATCAAATGGTGGAATTTGGAACCTCCCCATGTCATCTATGTGATATACATGACGTACTAATCACATAGACCTAAGGATTGCGTTATCAAATCAAACCCATATGTGTTTGAACTGAAGTTTTTTTTTTTTTTAATCTTTACTATATAACGCCGATATTTGATTTGGCTTCACGTCCAGGCCATAAAAGTTAAGTCAGAATATTATCATGGTAAAAGCATTTAAAATGGTGCGATGAAAGGAATTTTCAGAATTTAAAAGTTTTGTCATCTTTCTGCCATTTAGGCTGCGTTTGGAAATCATGCAAATAAGTATGAATGTAAATATGTAGAGTGTAAAATGGTTCATATAAATTATAAAGTTGGGTTAGATAAATTTATCTTCTTACCAAACAGACTTTACCTGTAATGAATGCAAACACAAATTCTAATAAAGCAAATGTTTTTTTTTTTATCAAAAGCTCACTTGAATGCAAATTTACTTCTTTTTTATTGATGTACTTTTACATCTTATTATCAATGTAAATATGCATTGGTCTGTCATGTGTCAATGCATAAATGTAATGTTGCCAAACACAGGCAAAAGTGAACCAGAGTGCACATTTACCCTGAACTTGGATTTACACTCTATTTGCATCATTTTCGAATGCAGCCTTAATTTGTATTTAAGGGTAAAATACAAATACAAAAACCTTCATTGAAGTTTTTGACAATTGTAAAAACCTCCCCTATAGTTTCATTTTAACAAATACCTCTCCTGAATTTTTGACAACCACAACAAAAATCTCTCTTTTGTCACTTTCCAAGACAGAAACTGTTAGATTGATTTACTAGTTTTTTCTAAATACCCATTCTACCCTTTTATAAATTATTTTACATACAAAATTACTGAAATAACCTTATTTTAACTTGACAAAAACATCCTTTAATGGTCATCTTTTAACGTTTTTGTTGAGTTAAAACAAGGTTATTTCAGTAATTTTGTATGTAAAATAATTTATAAAAGGGTAGAATGGGTATTTGGAAAAATTGGTGTATTAGTCTAACATTTCTGTCTGGGAAGGTAACGGAAGGGAGGTTTTTGTCGAGTTTCTCAAAAGTTCAGGGGAGGTATTTGCTAAAATGAAACTATAGGGGAGGATTTTGTATTTTACTCTTTATTTAAACACATGTATAGCCTTCCTTTCTACTAGTATTATTAAAGTTTATTTCTTTAAGAAAAAGGTAAAAGACTTAAATATACCCCGAGTTTTCATTAATTAGGTTAAACATACCCTAACATTTTCAAAAGGACTTAAAAGATACCTTAGAGACTAGCCCCATTGGACTAAAAACATACCATCCATCGGTGAAACTTCATATGTAAATTCATTTAATTTTTTTAAAATCTTATTTTGCCCTTTAACATAATAAGACCTTGTTGTCTCTTTGTCTATTTATTAACTCTGCCCATGTTTGTTGGGAGCCCATTAGTCACCATTTTCTTATCATTTTACCAATTTCTCATGAAAACTCACCATTAACAACAAGCAAAGTTTTAAAAACGACCCAGAACAGATGGCCCGTTCCAACTTAAAGAATAAAAATTAAAAAAATAATTAAAATAAAAATGACAAAAATTATTGTCCAGATCGAATGGGTCAATGGTTCGATCATCTGTGTCAATGAATCACTGACCAAGTCAATAAATTTTGGCCAAGGATCCGATTAAGGGTAAAGCGGAAGCAGTTGCTTAGACAATTCCTAGGCCAAACAGTCTAACCATCCGGATCAACGACGGTTGGAAAACAATGACAAGAAGTCCATCATTGAAACTCCTTTCTTCATAATAGCTTTTTGGATGTCTAACTGTAAATTCCATTTATGAGCAGCAAACCATCACCTACATGGATTACTGCTCCCATCTAATAGCCAAGTGTCGACTCTTGATCCTCTCTCTATCATCCCAATCAATATAACCTGGCATCCAACCCATAGACCTATAAATCCGCTTGAATCAAATATGACTTGAGAAGAGTTAAAAGAAGTTAATTACAATGTTTTTTTTTGAAAGCTTAAATCATATTTCATTCATTCAAGAAATTGATACAAAAAGATGCCAACAAGACCAATTAAACTTCAAATACAATTCTCAAGAAGAACAAAATAAAGAGATGGATGTAGGAGAATCGAAAGAACTTCTACAACCAAAGAAAAGTGACTTAAAATCAGCAATAGAAGTGGATAAGTACATCTCTAAACCACCATAACTGGCGAGCATAACTGATAAGGGAGGTTTCCAACAAAAAACGAAAACTGCCATAGGAGGTTACAAAGCCAAAAGCCATGATCTGTAACTTCCAACCACTTCGAACCAATCCACAAAAGATGACGTGATCTGTAACTACCATCCAACACACCGGATAACTGTTCACTGTGGCCTACCATCCAAAAAACGCCGGAGAACTGAAACGTCCATCTACAATGCCGAAAAACTGTAACTTCCATCCAGGATGTCATAGAACTATAACTGCCTTCTAAAATGATGGAGACGACAATGCAAGTGGCAACTTTCACCATTGGTTATTGCAGAAAGGATTCTAGAGAAGAAACTCCATATCAAAATGCCTGCAGAAGGAAAGAACATAAATAATAAATAGGAAGGAAATAATAGATGGAGAACAGAAGGGAATGAGGGAGAACAAACGAATAGATGGGAACAGGGGAGAACAAAACAAAAGAATAAGTGGAGAACAGAAAAAGAAGAACAAAAAAACAAAGAAAAGAACAAAGAAACGAAATAGAACAGAAAGGAAAAAAACCTTGAGAGATCTCGAACAGAAGGAAACGAAACCTCAGCGGACGAACAACGAATATTGAAATTCCAAGGCTGACAACCATTGGAAATTCTATGGATATTAAGGGAATTAGGGAAGATAAATAGAAGTTTTTAATGTAGGTCAGCAATTCTTTCATTGCACAAATCAAAGTCGACTTGAACTGGTATAGCTCATCAGTTTCTAGTCTAAGTTTCTCTTCCCCATGAATATACACAACCATCTCCTATAATAACAAAATCTCGAGACACCCAAAATTGTTATTGAACAAAATTTGAAATTTGGAACTTAAACAAAATGTTGACTTCATTGATGACAAAATACCTTTGACAGCGAGAGTACGAGCTTATCCAACGATTATCACCACGAGTGATTTCATAGATGATAGCACCTTTCTCTTCGAGATGATTCTCCAGAAATTGTATAAAAAGTATGAATCAAGCAAAGAATATATAAGTTTTGTTTTTTTAAAAAATCACTCTTATCTATGTCAGTCCGGTAAGCTATTATCTCATAAAAGGTTTTTTGAAGATTCTTCAACTTTGTTGGTTATAGATTTTCGTCTAAAACTATTTTTTATTTTGGGAATGAATTTGCTTGTAACCCAACAACAAATTCAGTAAAACTGAATGAGTACAAATAATATTCTAAAGATTAATGTCTTTAGGCACATATTAGAACTTCTACTCTAAATTTCTGTAACCCAATTCTCAAGAGAGCATGTTGGAGTCAGAAGATGTTGCTGCAACCTCCAATTTTTCGTGGCAAAAGCGAAAAATAGATACATTGCCTTTTGGTGGTAACTAGTGACAATTAACTACCTTGTTACTTTTATATTTAGATTTATCATCTATTTGGATCTTTTTGAAAGTATGAAAGAACATAAAGGGTAAAGAGTGATAAGCTATCTTCAAGTCCTTTTTAGAAACCCAGCGTATGTTTCAAGTCTTTTACCAGCTTGGAAGTGAAATGAAAAAAAGGTGCCACAAAAAACACATATGTACGTAATATATCCGGGTTTGGATGAGCTGAAGACAACATTTTACAATGTGGGTTGGTCACCAAACCGTGTTGTAACACGTATGCACCCATTTAATGTTTGAAATAAGGAAGAGAATCTCCCCTTTCTGTTATTTTGATTCTCTATTTTAAATTAATTAAAAAACAAAGAACTCCACTTCTCTTCCCCATTGTTTTTTGCTTTCGTAAATAGAAAAACGAAGAGTTGAA